ACAAACTAAGCTCTATCTGCGGCAGCAGTTACATTGGGGAAACTAAAGGACATGTCTTGGACCGTGTTCGTGAACATGAGGCAGATCTGAAACACGGCAGGACCAATACAAAAAAAATGACACCAGTTAAAAGGGTAAAACCTATTACTATATCTTGTTACTGGCAAAGGAGGTCTCATGATGTAAATGCTCACCCCGAGCCCTCAATATTCTGATAGTGCGCTGTTTTTGAGTTGTACGCCTTTTGGCGTCTTCTGGTCCAACACCAGTGGAGACTAAGGGCTCTAAGAAAAGCCGTCTCGGGTGTGGACCAATCAAATTCAAGGACAGTGCATATTATCAGAGTTGTCTCTTTTGTTTGCATTTTGACTGCTTGTGTTGTGGTTATTGCAAACATGATGCCTTGAATAAAGGTGTCAGTTTTTGTGCCAGTTAAAATGGTAAAACCTATTACTATATCTTGTTACTGGCAAAGGAGGTCTCATAATGTAAAATCTTGTACCCTCTTTTCTCTCTCCACCTGATGAAGACCGCTTGTGTTGCGATCGAAACGTCGTGGGTTGTTTGCTTTTATTTTTAATTTTATTTGCTATCTACGTGACTTTACCGAACGAACCAAACAATATGCAGAGGAGCTGGTCCGTTCTCCGCCGACTCGCACTGGCTATGGTCGTGCTGTGTAATTCAACACCCCCCCCCTGCCCCGCTATTGATCCCGACAAGAGCGTGGGGAGGCCTGTATTTAAAGCAGCGGCAGGTTTGGCACTCACTTCCCTTTCGCTTTAATACAACTCTTCCGTGCATTACCCCCCCCCTATCTCCCTCCCTCTCCTTGCCCTCGTTCTGCAATTGGTTGTTATACCACAGCCAGGGGCACCAGCTGTTGCCCTGTATTCGTAGTGTTGAAGATATGAATGAGACCAAGGAGCAAGTAATTGATTGCTTCGTTGGCGGGCGGGTAGAATTGTTTCTGTTGAAAAAAGTGTGGATGAGGCCTGGATGTGCCTGCAGTGGCGGGCGGGTCGTGGCAAATACTGAACATTCCAACGTAGCACCTCGACTTGTTCCATTCAACAATACCGTCGGGGGTGTCTTGTCACGTTTTCTTCCAGCGTTCCAGGAGTCAGAATATGTGTGAACCCACATTGCACACCTGAATTGCCACAATCAGGTCAACGAAGGGATTCATTTCCTCACTGAATATTTTGCGGGTCACCGGTAGAGCCCCGAGGGAGGCGTGTGCCGCGCTGCATTGGGCGCCGCGGTGGCTGGGAGATGTTAACTACCTCGCCTGGTATGCAGGAGGTCGTGGGTTCGATCCCGACCCTAACGCCCGTGTGTTTGGAGTTTGCGTGTTCTCTCCCGTGGTCGCGTGGATTTTTCTCCGGATCCTTCGGTTTTTTTCCCTCCCTCCACGTCGAGACACAAAGTCGCGCGTTTCGAGTACTTGGCCGATGTGAATTTGCACGTGATGACAAGCCACTTCGTTGCGCAATCATTTGTGGCTGGAGGGGGTGGATAACCGAGGGTGTGAGGGGGGGGGGGGCGAGAGGGTGGGGGGGGGATGTGGGAGCCACCCGAGCAGTGATGATAGACCACTAAGGAAATAAAACGGGGGAAGTTTGTTTAACACGTCTTGGGCTTTCGCGACCAATATCACTCATAATACAGGTTTTTTTGGGGTGTTTAGATCGCGTAGATATGAGATTAGATTTGTTTGTGTTAGATCGCGTATTGAACATCACGCCACGTATTTACGCGATCTAACCCAAAACAAACCTGTTTTATGGATAGGTAAGTTTGTCTGACACTCCCTAGGGTTTTCGCAGTTGTGCAGCAATGTCTCTGTGCGATATGTTGTGTATGTATTGGACAACTGAACTATATTTTTTTATTATTTAATCATGTTTATGTTACCAAGTAAGGCCCACTGAGCTCAATATATCTGCTGTAGCTATTTTTCAGAAGCGACCTGGCCACAATTGATAGCTCAACAAAGTAGCTTGTCGTCACGTGGAAATTCATTGCAGCCAAATGTTCTCAACGCGTCATGTTGATTCTAAATGTGAAGGGGAAATCCCGGAGGGACCCGGAGAAAAAAAACCCATCCCAGGCGACCACGGGGAGAGAGACACCGCAAACTCCAAATATACAACAAGAGTCAGGATCGGGATCGAACCGACGATCTCCTGCATACCAGGCGAGGTCGTTAACATCTCCTAGCCACCGTGACTCCCCCAAGCACGGTGCCCGACGTTTGGGAAAGTACGTGGGTAGCTTAGACATTGAGCAACGTCTACACCTCGTTGATCCGTTCGCAAGGGAGTTGCGTTGACTCACGATGACGACACGTACGTAGCTTGACTCGTACACAAAGACAAACATGCCCCGTATAGCCTTAACAAACTGTGGGGGCAAGAGTTGTTATCGAGCGAAGGCAGGCACGGCACACGAGGCGGTGGGTGGCGAGCACCACGCCCGACCGCCTTTGTCTCCCCAGTGGCGATGCTTTTATACACCGCACCAGGTACTACATGTGAGGCTGAGCCCACCTAGGGAAGGCCCATGACCGGTTCCGATAATCGCCACCGGTGTTGGCCGTGAGCGGTAATCGAACTCGAGCCGCAGGGTTCGTAGCGCAGCGCGCTCACCGCTACACCACCGCTCCCCACACATGACACGCCACGACATCCATGACATTCATCTCACCATGCAAAATCAGATCGCATCCCAACGAGCATCCCAAGACCTATGTTTTCCAGCACAGTTTATCTGAAGGCAAAATTTAGGACGTGATTAACATTTTTTTTTTGTTCAAGGCTCATGAACATTCTGTATGAACCTGCATTCGTTTATGTTTGCACGTGCATCGTTGTGCTATGAAGGGCCATTGCCCAAAACGTCGCCGATTTTATATACGTAATTTTTATTCTAAGGCCAGTGTTGAGGAATGTGTTGACTTTTGTGTTATTCGTATGCGTGCGTGTATCTGTGTTTTTTGTCTGTGTGTATACATGTAAAGGTGTGTGTGTGTGTGTGTGAGCGCGCGCACGTGTGAATCTACGTGTGGGCATGAGTGTCTTTGTAAGTCGCTTTATCTTCTGGCTTAGATCTGGATTGTCATGCACACACAGTAATAATTAACCTCGATTGTCGCTAACAACCAACTGCTGACTTGACACAAACGAATACACGTGTAGTGACTGAATCGGAGACACTAAGAGTTGAAGGCACTATGTTTATTTACACGCACCAGCGGGTTAACACTTCCTCGACTACGGTTCCCAGTCAGGACAGTTGGTAGACTGCCTCGCTGGCGACGCCGAGGTGGTGAAGACGGAGACGACGGTGAAGACTCCAACGAAGACTCCAGCAGCAGCAGCACAACGGGGATCCCGCTCATAACGACTGCCAAGAGGTCTCCTCCCGAGGCCCCTCCTATACTGTCAGCGTGGCCTGGCTCCGCCCTCGGCCACGCCCCCTTTCTGGAACCTACTAACGGGTTTCTTGGTGTGCCCTTTCCGTGACCTTTCCCCGAGATCCCTCTCTGGTCTATCACGTGGCCTGCTGTCGGTCAGGGCTGCCGTGAACTGCAGATCCCCTTCCCCGCCAGCAGCAAGCGCTATGCTGCTACATCGCTAATTCTATGTCACTACACCTGCACCATTGCACTGTGATCATCATCATCATTATCAGCAGCTATGGTCAATCCACTACTGCGTGAAGGCCTGCAGACCGCCAAAATCAGAATCTTTATTTATCCTGGAGATTCCGAGGGGCTATGCAGCTTTTTTTTATATAGCTGTACAGTTGGGGCGGGTCATAAAAGTTGCAACAACAATCAATAGGCACACGCAAAACAACGACCAGAGTACAAAGTATAGGAACGGTAAGAAAATGATTAAAAATAAAAAAACGCAAAATGAAGTATGTCAGTTTAAAATTGCATAAGTACAGCAATTTCCAAGCTTGAGCAAGACAGAAAAACAACAGCAACAACAACAGTCCCAGACCACACAAGATAACGACGCACAGTCTCTCAATAGAATTGCACATTCATACCAACTGACGTCTCCCTTGACCAATTCACGTCTTGACCTTCATTACGACTCCTTGACCTACATAATGTCCCCCCTTCGCCTGCTCCATTGACCTACTGGACAAGTCACCTACTGATCTAGAGCCGTCCGGGCCTGAGCTCCGGAAAATATATTTCCCAGCTCCTCCTCCTCCCGCCACTCCCTGAGAAATTAAGCCCGGTCATAGAGCATTTGTTGAAGAATGCCTTAATTCAATTGGAACGCTGTAATCGTAAAAACAAAAAAATGTATTTACTGAATAAAAAAACAGCAAACGATGCAACTGATTTTTTAGCAGACCATCCCAATGCTGAATAAATTCCCTTCCATGCTCAAATGACTCAACTGGGATGACACGTGCCACAAAAAAAGTTGGCAGCAACTTCCTGAAGGAAAAAAAAAACAGTCTCGAGACTCGGCAAGGCTTCACGTACCGCGTAAGCAAAAAGCAAGTACACACACGACGGTTCATCACGCCCCGCGTGTCAGTGCGACTCGATCAATTGTCGACTCCACCTCCAGATGTAAGATTCGGGCTGCGCTGTGATCACTGCGTTCCAACAGTCGGAGGTATATTCATCATCGCTCGTACAAGAGGCTTGCCAGTGGCGATGTTCACACACCGCACCAGGTACTCATTTGAGGCTGAGTCGTCCTTAGGGAGACCCAGCACCGGTTTAAATAATCGTCACATTTGGAAGTATTACATCTGACACCGTGACGTCGAAAGCACGAGGCCCCCCCAAAGCGCGGGGCTCGGGGTGGTCGCCCCGATTCATCGTACCCTCGGTGGCTGCTCTGCCTGCCATTCACACTGACCGCTCACACTATATCTTAAAACTCCCCCTCCCCCCCACCATCTCTCCTCCCACTCTCTCCACCCACTCCCTTCCTCTTTCTGCTCTCTCCGAGAAACTTTCCTCTCACTCTCTTCCCCCCACTCTCTCTCTCTCTCTCACCGCGGCGGCGACGTCGTCGCTATGTCGCGTTGCTGAAGGCGCGCGCGCGCGTTCATCGGCTCCCGTCGCGTGTCGTGGGAGTGCAAAAGTCATCGTCTCGTCTCTCCGTCTCGTCTATCCGTCGTCGACGAACATCGGCGGACATCAAAGATCGCGCGCGCGCACGCACAGCAGCAGCAGCAGAGCGCAGCGAGCGAACGGATCGCTCGCTCGTTGCGGTGATCGCCATCGCATCGGCATCGGAAGCGAGGAGGGACGAGGACGGCAAGAAGCTGGCTGTAGCTGGGAAGGCGGCTCCCGCTGCTGCTCCTGCCGCCGCCGCTGCTGCTACCTGTGGTGAGCGAGTGACCTACTTGTCGAGCCGTTCCCCCGCCTTCACAGCGCTTGCGCCATCACTCTGTTATCAAGTCTACATGGCGGAGTGGGTGGGGGGGGAGGTTAGGGGGGGCTCGTCTTCGTTGTCACGGCTTTTCTCTGTGTGTGTGTGTTTTGTATGCCCCCAGGAAATGTTGCCAACGACGTTGGCCGGTGATTGGAACTACTATTTGGGCGAACGTTCGCCCAACGTTGTTCTCCACCTATCTTTTGTTGCTCTCCGCTAAACCGCGTGGTTATTTCTTGGTCTGTCTTGGTTTGTTCCCCCCCCCCCCCCAATTTCTGTGTCTCTCTGCGTTGCATGCGTTGCTTGCGTGCATTGCGCGTTGAACTTATTTCGCACCGTACGTAACTAACCCTCCCCCCGTGCTAAGCGGAGGCGTGTTGCCTCTCCACTGTGGTTCTTGACGGGTAACCGGTAACCGCTTTCGTGGTCGGTTTTCGGCTCCGAGAGTCACGAAGCGGTAACCGTTTCCGGTCGAATTTGAGCAATGAACGACACTGATGGGCACGGTTCAATAACGTCCCACGCTCGCTGGTGTCTGCGTGCCGGTGAATTCTCTCTCCGTGTGTCTCCGGCGTCTCCCCATCGCCGTGCATCTCTCTGTGTCGTCTAAACTGCGTGTTATTGATAGGGTAACCGGTAACCGTTTTCGTAACGGATTTTCGGCTCCGACAGGCACGAACCGGTAACCGTTCTCCGGTTTATGTGACGAACAAACGCGCTGCCTGGCACGTGTGGATTCGTACACATGGCGTGGTGTTTCCTGAGTCACAGTACAAATTGTTACGCATTGTCACCTGTCTGGACACGTCTTTGTATCTCCATAGCCTCATCTGCGTCTCTGCGCTCTGCGTGTCTCATGCCTGGCTTGACCGAGTGACCTATTGCCCTGTGGCCTCGTGCGGTGGTGGTGTAGCCGGTAGCGCTACGCTGCGCTACAAACCCGATTTTCGCTCACGGCCAACACCGGCGACGATTATAATATCTGAACCGGCTTTGGGCCTCCCCTAGGTCGACTCAGCCTCAAATGAGTTATCTGGTGCGGTAAGCACCGCCACTGTGGAGACAAAGGCGGTCGGGCGTGGTCCTGGCCACCCACACCCTCGTGTGCTGTTGCCGGCCTTTGTAAGTGCTCACTAATAGCACTTGCCCCTACAGCCTGTGAATCTTTGACTTTGCCTTTACTCAGCATTTTATCAACCCATTGAAATGTACATATAATCAAAGGACCAATCAGATCTCGTTAGCTAATCAAGATTGTTTTTTTGTTGGGTGACCACTTTGCACAAACACAGGTGTTATAAGAGTTATGAGCAGGAAAGGGCAGCGCACGTTTGCTGAACTTCGTTCGGACCGCGACGTGCTAACCGGAGGTGCAAAAGTTCCATTGCTGTGTTGTGCTTCATCTTCACCAACCCACACAGGACCAGCGCGGCGAAGTGTGGCCAAATAGCCTCACACGATCCGCCCCCATCCGTCTTACGAGACGATGACTTGGCCCAGTGGTGCGTTCAGGGTGCTTCAGTTGGTGGCTGAGTAGCCCGGTCCTCGAACGGCCAGATCCTACCCACAGCTCGGTCACGTGCGCTTTTTCCACAGGGGTTTCCCATTCACTTCGTCAGCAACCACCCACTCACCCACTGACTCAGTCAACCTCCCACTCACCCATTCAGTCAGTTCAACTTCCCACCCACTCAGCCACCCACTCAACAAACCGCGCGAGCAGCAAGTAGATCCTCCCACAACTCGAGCATTCGCACCTCTCTCCCTCCTCGGCTGTGTCACGCTTCCCTCGTTTCGTTACGGGGCGCAAAGATTATTACGTTTTTCGTAGTGCGGTGGAACGTGGCTGGTGTATGAAGGCAGGATTGCAGTCTGGGATTGCTGCGCGGGTTCAAGAGCTGGACATTATCAAAGCGACTTCAGGGGCTGTAATACATGCGCACTGTAAAGTGCAAAGATAAAGATCTTAACAGACTGTTGGGGCAAGTGCTGTTAGCGAGTAGCACCTATGAAGGCCGACACGGCTCACGAGGGGGTGGCTGGCCAACACTACGTCGGTCCGCCTTTGTCTCCTCGGTGGTGATGTTTTACACAGCACGCCAGGTACTTATTTGAGGCTGAGTCGACCTAGGGGAGGCCCAGGACCGATTCAAATAATTGTCACTAGTGTTGGCCGTGAGCGGGAATCGAACTCGGGGTCGCTGGGTTCGGAGTGCAGTGCGCTAACCGCTGCGCCACCGCTCCGCACACCGCAACGTACACACACCGCAACGTACACACACAGATACGAATCCCGCACACGAGCCACGCGCCTTGTTGTCCAGAAGCTAAGTGCGAGATAAGGATGTTGGAAATGAGAGAGTTGCAGGTTAAGTTAATGCCTGGTGAAGATTGACAAAGTAAACAGAGAGAGAGATATCATTAGCAGTCGTTGTGGAGAATGCAACAAAAAAACTGAGTAAATAAGCAGGCAATCCATCTCCTTCATGTATCCGTCTCTCCGTGTAAACATATAAAAGTGTTTATTCAATCATCTATCGGGCCCCAAAGCCATCTGGGTTGGCGACGTGCGTTGCGAAAGAAGTTCAACGCACGTGACTATATCATGTCAGCAGCGTCGATTCAGCACGAGCCAAAAATCCTCCGGATCGTTGTTCGACAACAGAGCGTCGCATCAGCACGCTCAGGCTTTCTGGAATCAGCGCTTGCTTAAAATGATTGACTCCCAGAGGGACGTGGGTGCGATCTTTGTGTTTAAAAAAAAAAGCGGTTGGGTTTTTTCACGTGAAGAGACAAAATCTACTTCCTAGGAGGCATTGTCTATTGATAAGGGGTGCCGCGGTGGTGAGGTTATCACGCTTGCCTGGTGTGCAGGAGGTCGTGGGTTCGATCCCGACTCGACATGTGTATATTTGGAGTTTGAATGTCGATCTCCCCGTGGTCACGTGGTATTTTATCCAGGACCTTTCGGTTTTTTTTAAATCAACAAAGCGTGCTTAAGAGTATTTGGCTGCTTTAAATTTCCACATGATGATAAGCCCACTTTGTTGAGCTAACATTTGTGGTCAGGCCGTTTCTAAAATAGAGAGCTATATCGCTCAGTGGGCCTGACCTGGTAAATATATATTCTTTTTTAATATAGTTTTACCTAAGGCGCGGTCCAGAGATTTCCCTCAAAATCGAACCACCGCCTGAGGTGGGAAACCCTCTTTGCTGCTTTTGTGTCCGTGGCATTTTTCAACCTTAAAGGTGACAAGTGGATGTGGCCCATCAATGCATGTGACACATGCATTGATTGGCCACGTCACGAAATGGATATCACCAGCATCCCTGGCAATGTCGCAGGTGTCCTCCTTCGTGGTCGTGAGCCGCCAGTTTTTAATTATAACGCGGACACCCGCAGCCGCCAGGAAGTCTCCAGTGTGTGTGTGCATGAGTGTGTGTGTGCATGAGTGTGTGTGTGCATGAGTGTGTGTGTGCGTGTGTGCGTGTGTGTGCGCGTGTGTGCGCGTGTGTGCGTGCCCCCCCGCCGCACCCCCAGCACAACGAGAAACTCGGCACGCTCAGCAACAGCGCGGAAATTTGCCCCCTGCTCACCGAAGTCAAATTGAAGGAGGCCAGAAGAGAAGAGGCGGAAGGTTGGACACGAGTTGGGAGAGACTTGCGCCTGACGTCCATCCTCGCGTGTCCGACACGCCGCCGCCCTGATAATTTCGGGTCGCTCTCGTCCCACGCCAAGCCAACGACGGTGGCTTTGCGTCCGCCGATTGTGGTGTGTGCTCCCGCGCGCCGTTACCAACGCGGCGGCCACCGCCGCCGGAAAAAAACGCGTGGCTTGATGGGGCCACCGTGAAACAAGTGGAACGTCAGCGAACCCGCGGCGTCAGCGGCGCGATGGAGGTTATTTCAGACGACTAAAGGATGAAGACAACTTGAAATTGACAACTTCCCAGCCCGTCGTCAACCGACTGCTGGGTGAACGCCGCCGCATCCCCTATTAGTGAATGGGAGTTGTTTGGCCATACTTCACCACGCTGGTGAGTGCGGGTTGTGAGGCGGGGGGGGGTGGACGGGGGTGAGGGGGGTGTGCCCCTGGATCGTTTCAAGATAGCCGTGGTCACGAATCAAAACTCCGGGTCACCAGCTTCGTAGCGCAGCGTGCTATGAACTTCCCACGCGTGTCCCACGCAGGAGGGATGAGTCGGTCACGCATAGCTAGCTGGCTGCGGGTGCACAAGATTTGTCCCTGGTGACTCATCGTTGGTGCCCATTTTCAAATCGCTGCTCTTTTTTTATTTTAATCGCATCGTATGGCAATTCCCTCGTCGGTCATTCCGCCAGCAACAGCAACAGCAGCAGCAGCGACAACGGCAACAGCAGCAGCGACGACAACAACAACAACAGCAGCAGCAGTAGAAACAACAGCAGCAGCAGCAACAGCAGCAACAAAATCAACAGCAGCAACAGCAGCAACAGCAACAACAGCAACATCAGCAACAACAGCAGCAGCAACAGCAGCATCAACAACAGCAGCAACAACAGCAGCAGCATCAACAACAGCAGCAGCAGCATCTCGAACATTCACGACGACGTCGCTCCACGTGAGCACCTCCACCGCCGCCTCGCCAGCGTCGAGGTCACCGTCGAGCGCCGCTAACCCGGTGCGACCCCTCGCAACGGCGTTTTTGGCTCAGCCATCGAACAAAGTCGGGTCGGGTCGACCGCATCGCGCGCGCATTCAGATCCAGGCCACTGGAGCCATCTGCACTTTGAAATCAGCTGGATTGAAAACTCATTTCTTTAGAACTGCTTTTTGGATAAAATAGAATATAACAACAAAATTCAAGAATTACTCAACGATGGCAGCTATACAAAAATAAAAAGAGATCCCATCAACAGCCTCGTCATACAAACCAACAAAATCATTTCTGATTCAACCGCATTAATTGATCAA